CACACACACACACACACACACACACACACACACACACACACACACACACACACACACACACACACACACACACACACACACACACACACACACACACACACACACACACACACACACACACACACACACACACACACACACACACACACACACACACACACACACACACACACACACACACACACACACACACACACACACACACACACACACACACACACACACACACACACACACACACACACACACACACACACACACACACACACACACACATATATATATATATATATATATATATATTAATAGAATTCAATTTATCTAAAATCAGAATATTCAATTTCCCTCAACAAACAATTATCTCTACCCATAATTATCTCAACAATATGAGTTATACTCTCGATAACTCATAAATCTCTCAATAACTCATAATTCTCTCAATTATATAAACTATACTCTCATCAATCCATAATTATCCCAACAATCTATAATTATATCAATAATACTATATATACTCGATCTATGTTGATTTTTTCAATATCTTAGTTAAAATAAATATCCACTAACATTTGGCACAAAAAAAAAAGAGTATAATTGTAAATGACAATGTTTAATGAAATAGAGTGAAATATAAACATTATTACTACTAAATAGTTTAGTTTAAAAAAAGATATGCAAGTATGATTTGAACAAGAAGTAATTGCCTAATAATGGTAAAAGTGTTTTTAATGATCATTGCATTCTATGTTAACAAATACAGAACTACTTGCCTCTATTTTAAATATAAAATCATTTTGAATTTTTCCGTTTTATTTTATAAGACTATTTTTTATTCAAAAAATTTAACAGTATTTAGAGTTACTTTTAATTGTGTTAGTTATTTTTTATTGAAATTTCAAATTAATTTTTAAATATATCCTTAGCTATATTTCTTAATGTGATTATCAACTTTTAATTGAAATTTCAAATTAATTTTTAAATATATCCTTAGCTATATTTCTTAATGTGATTATCAACCTAATTTTATTTCAATTTTAAGATATATTTAAAAAATAAAGAATTGTTTTGGTAAAATTTAAAAAATATATATTTTATTTCTTAATTCATGTATCAAATCTAAAATGACATTACAAGAATAGAAGATGATGAAACTATATTAGAATATTTATATACTTATGATATATGAGGAGTTGATTTATCTAGTTTAAAATTAAGATTAGATAGATCAGTTTTTAAAATATATTTTATTAATTTTAAAAATGTATTTAAAATATTTTATATTAAATTTTTTATATTTTCTACAATTTCAATTTTCATATTTTTACAAATTATTAGTTTTGATATTTTTTATATTCTTTGACTAAAAAATATTTAATATAACTTAAATGTCGCAAATGTGACATACATGTAAAATTATTTGAAAAAAAAATTATTTACTTATTTTTAATTAAGTTACAAAAATTAATAATTTATACAGCATGCTTTTTAAAAGAATTTTCTGTAATCTTAACGATATTTAATCACCTAAATGATCAGATTACTAGTTTTGTGTAAAAAACTTAAAATTTAAACTTTAATTGTTTATTAATAGCTGATTTTATTGTTTATCAAAATTAAATCAAATGTCACACCTTTCACTATTACTAGTATTTTGATCCGTGCCACGGAAAATTAATAATCTCATTATAAAATTGTAATAATATTTATACTAATTAATTAAATGTTTAAACAAAACTTAATATAATATATTTATTAATTAAAAAGTAAAAATAAAAGAGAAAAATTTAACAATATATTTAAAAAATAGAGTATGAATATATATAGAATTTATATTGGAAGTTAGTAAGAAAATTTATAGAGAATTAAAAAAATATATCATTGACACTATAAAATTAACAATAATAACATAATTAAAATCCAATAATTGTATAAAATTAACAATAATAACATAATTAAAATCCAATAATTGATTGATTGAAAGATAATTTTGATGCTAATGAATTGAATCTAAGAGAAATAGATATAAAAGAACAAATAAAATAAAAATGGTCATATAATAGAAATAAAATATTATTTATATAATAATGGAGCAAAATTTTATCATAATATATAAATTTTATAGAATATGTTTTAATTTAAACCTGCACTATTTTTAAAAAAATTTAAAACTTTAATTCAAATACTTAGTTGTTAAGTTTTAGAAATCCTTTTGGAGAAATTATTATTTTAAAGACTTATCAACATAACTATTATCATTAATATCGATTCAATTGAACTTATCTTTTTTCTTTTTATGTTGTCTTATATATAGAAATTAATTTACATTTTTTCTTTTTTAAAGTAAAAAAAATTATTTTCTAAGAATATTTTAAAACTTTAAATCATATATTTTATTGTTAAGTTTTGGAGATCCTGCCGGAGAATTTATTATACAAAATTTAAAATAGTGTGTGTACAATTTTTCATTCATGGTATAATTATACCATAAAAAAACAACAACAAAAATATAACAAAAATATAAAATAAAATTCAAAAATAAAAGAAGAACTTTATAAAGGAAATATATCAACAAAAATGAAAATGAAAGATGATATCAACAGGGACATCAATAATACATCACTTTTTAAACATATCCCAATTTAAAAATTTTGATATGGAAAATTAAGCATCGCAATTTTTTAAATTACTTTAAAATCAATCACATAAATACTAAAATAATTTATAAGAAAATTATTCTACATATCACGATTGTATATGCTATCTGAATGATCAACTCAACATTATTTCACAAAAAAACAAAAATACACCAGAAACTAAAGAGAGTAAATAGTAATATTGATTAAAAATAAATTAAATTAAACAAATGAATCCCAATATTAATTATAATAATAAATTATAATGTCGTCCCAAAATATTAAAATATATATCACATTTGTCTTGAATATTAATTTTAACATCTTCAATAATTTCTTTATCAAAAAGTACCCTTTAGGATAATTTAAATTTTGTACCTAAAAAAAATATAGTAACAAATAATAACCAATGTCATAGAAGAAAATAATAAAGAATGAATTTGCCCAACAAAAATTGTGTCCATAACTACTAATTAGATAAATTTATATGAAAGTAAATCGATGGTTATTATTGAAAAAATTGATAGTTAGCTGTGAGTGATATGTTTTAGTGAATTAATTTCTTAATTAATTATTAATAATAAATAAGAGATGATAATATAGTTAGTGGAATGAAGCTAAAGAATTTATTATTAATTTTAATTTAATATTAATTTATTATTATATTTTTTAATAATTGTGTGGAAGTTACAAATCTTAATTTAGAAATCTTTTAGATAAATATAATCAATGTAATATATATTTTAGGGAACAAATATTTTATTAGTTTTTTCTTATAAAATAAAGTATTAAATTATTAAATTAATTAAAATTTAATAAAATAAATAAAAAATTTGTGGAAGTGAAAATTTATATATTTAATACTATATTTACTAAAATTTATTAAATTTAATAAAATAAATAAAAAATTTGTGAAAGTAAAATTAATTTATAAGTTTAAATAAAACGTGAAAGTAAAATTAATTTATAAGTTTAAATAAAACTTTATTTTTTTAATAATTGTGAAATCTTAATTTAGAAATATTTTAGAAAAATATAATCAATGTAATATATATTTTAGGGAATAAATATTTTATTAATTTTTCCTCATAAAATAAAATATTAAATTACTAAAATTTATTAAATTTAATAAAATAATAAATTTTTTGTAGAACTAAAATAAAAGAGATTGTAAATTTAAGTTATGATTTTACTGTTATGTTATTATAGTGAAGTGGACTATATAATGTAACATGTTATAGTAACAAAATTATTTAAAAATATAGCAATTTAAACTATGATTTTACGGTTATTATAATGAAGTGGATTATATAATATAACATGTTACAGCAAAAAATTATTAAAAAAATATAACTATAAATAAAGAAATATAATTTTTATAAATTTGAGAAGAAATTAAAAATATAACATAATAAGTTAGTGGAAAAATTTAGGATTTAAGGGTTAAAAATTGTTTTAAAAAAAAATAAAATAATAAGTTAGTGGAATATAGTTAGTTTTAAGAATTTTTTTTATAAAATATAATAAAATTAGAAGTTAGTGTGATTACCAAATATAAATTTGAATAATGGAAGAAGAGGTAGTTAATTTGAAAATGTGACAAGAAAATAAATTAGTGGAATATAGTTAATTTTAAGAATTTTTTTATAAAAATAATAAAAAAACTAATCCATACATTTAGCTAAAAAAATAGTGGGTTAATATTTTTTAAATTAAAATTAAAATAAATAAATATTAATAATTATTAAATTAACTTTAATTTTGGTTCTAAAATTTTCTACTTAACAACTTTAATTAATAAAATAATTAAATTTAATATATTTTAATATATCTATTCTAAACGAATTGAAAATTCAATCGTAGAATACGCACATGCAATCTTCTTCAGTCCTTTCAAGGAAAATTTGAATTGAGAAGCAAGAGCAACAATAATTTCGATTTGTCTTAAAGAGGCTATTAAATATTACAAGAAAGTAAAAAGAAGGAAAAAGAAACAATAATAAAAAGAAAAAGAAAGCTCTAATTTCACAGCAGTAAACTAAAGAGAAAAAAAAATCTGAATTACCAAACAATAAAAGAAAAATAAAATAAAATAAAAAGTAGATTTAATTAACTTTACAGAACTTGCAAGTCACTTCCTCTATTAAATTATTATTAAACACATGTATGTATATGCATGAAAAAAGATGCTCCATTCTTTACTTAATTACGATTTTGCCATTGGTGTTACTCCTCAAAACCCCACCATCACTCACACCTCTCTCTCAGACACAATTCTCATTTCTTCTTCTCAAAACGCTGCGTTTCACTCTCACTCTAAATAATCTACGTCACTTTCTCTTTACCGTAACTGTACTTGAAACTGAAATGGAAGCACAAGATTACTTTGTCGGTGGTGGATACTACGGTGGTGCCGGAGGACTCGACCAATTCTCGCCGGAGAAACGTCACGGTTACAGTGATCAGAAGCCTTGTGAGCCGTTTGCCATTGATGACCTGCTTGATTTCTCCGATGCTGACGCAATTATGTCAGATGGATTCTTCGATAACAATGTTGCCGGAAATTCAACTAACTCTTCCACTGTTACCGCAATTGACAGCTGCAACTCATCAGGCTCAGCCGGAGATAACCGTTTCGCAGGCACACTTGTTCCCTGTGGTTTTGCCGGTGATGTTCAGCTCACCGGTGAACTCTGTGTTCCGGTAAGTAATTGACTTAATGCAACTAATTCAGCTTAATTTAACCGTAATTGAAGAACAATTTGGAATTCAAATGATGAGTATGGAGAATTATGAAACTGAATTTTCATTTTGTATGAATTTTTCGTTCTACAGTATGATGATATGGCGGAATTGGAATGGCTTTCGAATTTCGTGGAAGATTCGTACTCTGCTGAAGAGGAATTGAAAACACTGCAACTTCTGTCCGGCGCCGGTGCAGTTAAACCACAGACACCGGAATCTTCCTCTTCCACCGACACGCTTCCCCCATTTTCCGCTGATGAAAGCTTACGCAACGCTTCATTTCTCCGGCAGGAAACGCCTCTCCCAGGGAAAGCGCGTAGCAAACGCTCACGCGCGGCTCCAGGAGACTGGTCCACGCGCTTGCTCCATCTCCCCGACGCGCAGGTTTCTCAGATGAATATTATGCCGGTGAAGAAGCGTGAGGATCCTAACGCAGAATGCTCCGGGAGAAAATGTCTGCATTGCGGCACCGACAAGACGCCGCAGTGGCGAACCGGACCGATGGGACCGAAGACTCTTTGCAATGCTTGCGGCGTGAGGTTTAAGTCCGGTAGGTTGGTGCCGGAGTATCGACCGGCGGCGAGTCCGACTTTCGTTTCGGCGAAGCATTCGAATTCGCATAGGAAGGTTCTGGAACTGAGGAGGCAGAAAGAGATGCAAAGATCACAGCATCAACAGCTTCTAAGTCATGGTTCAATTTTCGGCGTATCCAACGGTGGTGATGAGTTTATCAATTATCATCATCATCATCATTGTGGGCCAGAGTTTAGGCATGTTATCTAGTGAGTGCTAGTGTAGCATAGCTTAATTTAGGGTGCAGTTCTTTCTAAGTTTAAAGTTTAAACTATCTTTCGTTTTGGCACTCTTTTTTGGCTTATAAAAATTTCAATTGTAGCTTTTTTTATTTATTTATAAATTAATTTCTCTTTTTTCCTTTAAATTGGGGAAGAAAAATGTAGAATTAAGGTGAGGGGATAAGATATGGAAGAGCAAAAGAGCTTCATTTCGTTGTAGAATCTACTCTTTATTATTTTCCTTGCCTAATTTGGCAAATTTAGAATTCAAAATCTTTCTTTATTTTGGAAAATAAGGATAAATAAAAATTGAGTATGAATATTTTTTTTATTGCGCTAATACAAACAAAATTTTACAAATTAATATTGATATACACACCTTATTGACAATAATAATTGATTTTTAATGATAATAATTGATTTAATTCTTAGAATATTTGAGGATAATAAGAAAACTCTCTCACACTAATGCTTGAAAGTTTAGTTTGAATTGCAAGCTACACATTTGAAACATTTTCTTTTAATAATTTAGACCCCCGCCATTAAATTAATTTTTAAAAATTAGTTTTAAAACATTATACCCCATAAAATATATTAACAATTACTTAGATATTTAAATATCAATAAATATTTTAGATTTTTTATATCATTAATTACTTTTCCTCTTCTTTTTATAAACACCTTACTTTGTTTTACATATATTAAGAAAATATTAATATATTTAATGTGTTCATTTTATTGATAGATTTTCTTAAAATGTCTTTAATATACTAGTGTCTTTAACTTTACTAACTTTTTACATTTTAAGATAATTAAATTGGTACTATTAATAAAAAAGTATGTTTGAGGACAACAAAATTCTTAAATGATACTAAGTGTGTGTTTGGAAAAGTAAGAAATCACGGTGGGAAAATCACGTTTAAATGAAGCTATTTTTTGTAGCTTTTTTATTTTCACAGTGAGTTGCACCGTACTTTTTCCATTGCCAATGTGGTTTCAAACGCACAAAATATCTAATTACATTTCATTGAGCGTAAAACTTGATAAAAGAAAACAAGTGAATAGAAAGAAAAAACAAAGCGAAGAAAATGACACATCATAGTTCTTTTTTGTTTTACAAGATCAATTATTTTGGTTTGTAACTAGTGGATAACAACTTTCACAACAACAACCTATGGGCCATTATAAATACATGGAACCCAGATTTCTTCAATGTAATATTGGATAACTATTAGCATTTGGTCAATTAGTAATCATGAAACATTGTGTTCATTTTTTGCCTTATCAAAAAAGTAACTACTCTCAAGTCTCTATCATCATATGTGATTAAATTCTACACAATTTTATACTAGCAATTTTATACTAGTACTTTTTCTCACTTAAGCTTTAACAGACAAAGTGCATATGAATGTGAACAATGTACCAATTTTTACGACCAAAGAAACAATCTTTGTGGCCAAGAACCTAAATTGGTGGGAAATAGTGAAGAATTAAGTTGCATGAATTTCAGTGAAATTATGCAATTAATAACAAATTTTTTTATGGTTATCAATTAGCCAGATACACATCGTCCTGTGAACGTACTATACATGTACATGGAAGTGCGTTAAAGGAAAGTGATGAACGAAAGAATGGAATTATGAAACCAACGTGGGAGGGAGTAAAATAATTAGAGAAAAAAAAATGGGTAGTTACTTAGCTTGCAAAATGGTGCAGCAAAGTCATGTGAGTTGAGTTGTGAAGAGAGTGTTAAATAAACAAAGAATTAGGTGCACAACGAGGGGTGATATAACTGTCTACCTGATCCTAGACATTTCCTCCTCTTTGGGCTCCACTATTTCATTGTATATACACTCACACTATTCATGGTTTATTCTATTATTTTTTCCTAGGTTGAAATTAAGATAGGTAATCAAAGTCAATTTTTCACTAATTCAAGCTTTATCATATAATTGAGTTTTACATAGTCAAAGTTTTTCTATTGTGAAAAATCAAATGTAAGATTTCAACACATTTAAAAAATGATGTTTAGATAAGTTATAAAAAAAATTAATTTAACTAGTTCATAAGATCACTTTTTAATTTCTACTCATTTTTTACTTGATTTCTCACATAAATCTCTAAAAATCTTCAAATTATTAGAATTAAAAATCTCTAAGGTTTTCCTCTTTCTAAAAATCACCCCTCCTATTAATAACAATATTATTGACAAACTACTTAAAAATGACATAGATTTTAAGAGAGATTTTTAAAAACACCTAACATTTTTCATAAAATGTCATAACCAAAAAATTTTAATTTTGGAATGAAATAGATTTTAAGACACAACACTCATTATTATAAATATTATACTTTATTGACAATTTTCATCTCATTCAACAAAAAAATATCTAAAAATTTCAAAATACAATATGTTACTTTCCCTCCAATAAATTATCATCTACTCATTCAGTTTAAAGCAAAACTGAGGAATAAATTAATCTAGGACACATGTTTTGAATTTTATCAATTGCACTTTTTGTTTTTTTCTTCTTTAAAAGTTATGTCTTTCTTATTATTTAAGGTTTTATTTTATTATTAAACATTTTATTCTATCGAGTTTTCATATGATTGTGGGGTATGTGTTAGATGAAATTTCGACGTTCTAGAGAGCTTGAGATATCAAGTAAAATTGAAGAAAGTATTTTGGAAAAAGTTAGTCGACTTCGACAAGAATTTGCTGGAAAAGTCCCACACCTGCAAGATGATATTTGTCTGGGACTTAGGATATTTGGAACTTAGTTTAAAAGCGAGTTCGATAAGATAATTTGAAGTAAGACTAATAACTATTTATTTTCTTCAAAAAGATACGTGGAATCCCGTGAGGGGCAAAGTTCATGCAAGCGAGAACGTATCATTCTCTAAAGAAAAGACTGTTCGTTACCTTTACCGTCGAAGTAATATAAATAGTGATCTTAACATTAGGATTCAAGTGTGTTCAATTTGTACAAAACTCAAAATCACTCAAAGTATCTAAGTGTGTTGAGAAATAGTTTTCTGAGTAACTGTTTACCGTGGAAATTGGTAAACAACCGCTGATCTTCCAAAAGGTTACTTATTTGGTGACTCGCAGGATCGATCAGATTGATCCTAAGACATGGTTGATTTTCTGGAGTTTGACTAAATCTAATGGTGATTAATGCCGGTAAAGTAAAGACACTTTATGTAAATTGCATGAAGAAAAGCTTGATAGAATAAATAAAAGCGTTAAATAAAAGGCTTCGACGGAGATGAGTAAATGAAAAGTAATAAAGTGCTTGAATATAAAAGACTTTGATTAATTTAAATGGTGTTTCACACATACATTCTCAACAATTCTTTCGCTCACACTGGGTACTTGAATCTAGATGAGTGACTTGTATAAAATGATAAACACACGCGAAAACTACGTGAACAACTAGTATTTATACTAAAACAAATCTTAAGTAACCATTGGGCAGTTACGTCGCTTCGAGATGACGCCACATGGCACGCTCACAGCATTCGACGCTCCTGATCTCGGCACGTTGCGTTTGGTAACTGCTGGGAACTATTTTCCCTCCAAACATTCAAATCTCAAACCGTTCTACCCTGGGCATCAGGTACCTTTGTCGAGAAGTTCCTTCGACGTCGAAGATGACAAGATTCCCACTTAAAGGAAACTCTCTAAGTACCTTGTCATTCTCTGATGAGCCTTCGACAGGATCAGCTGGTCGAAGCCTGGAAACTCTTCTGACTCATAATTAATGGTCTATATTGATAACAAACAAGGGTGTCGAATTTAGGAGCCAACAAATTGCCCCCCAAGAATGTCTTATTTCGACGCTAAAAAGAAAAAGGCATTCTTTGAGATTCCACTCGACACCTGTCCTTCACTCTTAGCCACAGATTAGTTTGTGCGCTTTTCGTCTCCTACCAACCAACTGACAATCTCAAAAAGCCATCATTCCAACTGCTCCTAACACGTCACTTCAGTAAGGCGTTTGGCATGCCCAATGTCTTTTCACAGATTGTCATCATGACAATTCCCCGAAATCGAGGACGCACGCTGCACCGTTTCCGTTCTGCAGAACGACTATATCATCAAATGAGCGCCACGTGCCCCACTCTTGTCTGAAACATTAAATGACCTCGAGTCTTGTGATTTTCCAATCACTATAAATAGCACTAAGTGCCCCTCGTGGGACTTTTCACGCTTTCTTCATCCAAGCCTTAAATCGAACAAAAATTTCTGCAAAAACCTTTGTTCTTCATCCATCTTCATCTCAAACCAAAAAATGGCTTCAGGTTCTCGTTCTTCCAATGTCCCCAGTTCTAACACTCCCTCTAAAACTGCTCAATCGAAAATCTTTTCAACCGCTCCAACAGTTAACTCCAAAGGAATGCGAAGGGTTCCCGAACCCATGGGAGATGCTGAGCGTGAGACTTACTCTTCTCAACTGCTGATTCCTGTTGGATATCCCAACCAGGTTTTCGCCATGTCTGGTCCTCTATCTGCATGCATTGCTGACCCAACGAAGATCAAGGGTTTCTTCCCCGTGCTTGAGGCACTCAAGCCCATTGGGTGCTCCAAAAAGGCGACAGACGATAACGAAGATCCTGCAAAAGAAAAGATAGATCTTCGTTTCTTCAACGGAGGGGTTAGGGATTTTAGGTCTAGCCCTAGCCTTACACCAGACTACAACGCTTGGCTCGACAAGATGGAAAAAATCCAGGCTTCGATTTGGAAGAACATGGGGATTTATGACCTAGTCATGCTGTCAAAGACTAGTCTCATCTATTCCCCGGAAATACTGGTAGCTTCTTTGCTATTTTGGGACTATACTCACTTCACCTTCCACCTGCCTTGTGGAATGGTAACACCCACTCTCTTTGATGTGGCTGCCATTACTGGTCTTCGACCAACTGGGGATTACTTTGACCCAGAGGAAATGTCTGAAGACCAGATTGGGTTTTCAGCTACCAAACCCA